GGGGTGGGCACAAGGGGTGAAGGGAGACATGTATACGGTGATTGACAAACAAAATGTACAACCAAAATTTCACAATGTTATAAACTATTAGGACATCAATAATAAAAAAAATAAATAAATAAGATTTTATTTAAAAATTAATAAGAATAATCTCAACAAAAAAGAAACAAACCACCCAATTAAAAAATGGGCAAAGGATCTGAACATTTTTCCAAAAAAGATATACAGATGGCCAACAGGCACATGAAAAGATGTTAAACATCACCAATTATTAGGGAAATGCAAATTAAAACTACAATGGAGATATCACCTCATGCCCATCAGAATGGCTATAAATAACAAGACAAGAAATAACAAGTGTTGGAAAGATGTGGAGAAAAGGGAACTCTCATACACTGCTGGTGGGAATGCAAACTGGTGCAGCCACTATGGAAAACAGTATAGATATTCCTCAAAAAATTAAGAACAGAACTACCATATGATCCAGCTATTCCACTTCTGGGTGTTTATCCAAAGAACACAAAAACACGAATGCATAAAGATATATGCACCCCTATGTTCATTATTATTATTCCCAATAGCCAAGACTTGGAAACAACCTAAGTCCCCATCAATGGATGAATGGATAAAGAAGATGTGGTATATATATACACAATGGAATACTACTCAGCTATAAAAAAAAGATAAAATCTTGCCATTTGTGACAACATGGATGGACCTTGAGGGTATTATGACAATCCAAATAAGTCAGACAGCAAAAGTCAAATACTCTATGATTTCACTCATAAGTAGAAGATAAAAACAACCACAACAAAAAAACACATAGATACAGAGATCAGACTGGTAGTTACCAGAAGGGAAGTGGGGAGGGAGGAGGGCGAAAGGGGTGTTAGGGCACATGTGTATGGTGACAGCTGGTAATTAGACTTTGGGTGGTGAACATGATGTAGTCTACACACAAATCAAAATATAATGATGTACACCTGAAATTTATATAATGTTATAAATCAATGTTACCTCAATAAAAATATATATATATGAAATATATGTAGATATAAAAAACCAAAGTACTGAATACTGTTAACAATATAATGCCATTAATGTAAAAAAAAAAAAAAAAAAAAAAAAGAGTACGTGTTGCCTTGAATATTCATAAAATAGTTGCAGAATTTTCTTCAAAACGCTATGTTTTTTTTAATTTATATCTGGATACAGGACTAATTATTTGGGGCACAAGAATGTGAGCTAGACTTTTACAGAGTATTATTTTGTAAATTTTAAGTTTGGAAACATGAAATATATTATTATACAAAATAATTATTTAAAAATTATAAAAACATTAATAAGAATATATTGCCAAGTTCCATTTTTGTGTAAAATACAGTTTCATGGCATAACTATTATAACAAAAAAGAGATTTCAATATACTCTGGAATACAGTTTAAACTTTTAATATGTCAATTCCATTTTATATATTTCTTTAATATTTAAAAAGGATCTAACAGGGTATGGAATGATGCTATGTGTTAATTTGGTTAAACATGTCTGCATTTGTCACAAACCTCCAAAAGTAAAGGATTACGCAACCAAACATATTTAACTTTTTGCTTAACAGTTACTACTTACATTTTAAATATTCGGGAGTTAATGAATCACTTTCCAGCAGATGGGTAGAGAGTATTTTATAAACCTCTGAATGTTCCCCCTCTGGGATAAAATTAAATATACTTTGATCCACAAGATCAGACTGAAAAAGAAATTTATACAAATAAAATAATTTTAGTAATTCAAGACACATATATTTTAAAAGTATATAATCACTCTTAAAGTATCAGATGAGCATATGGTTAACTTTCAATTATCTGTAAAAACTGACAAATGTCAAGTTACAGAGCACAACTCAGGAAACAAGGTGAAAGAAGGTTAACATGACCTCTATGCCTCTGATATTAGTGTCATCAGGTCCATAATCAATATGAGATTGATTTGAAAGTCTGATAAATTATTTGAAAAGGTGAGTTTCACCAAATTTGAACATTTAAAATACAACAGGACTCAGAAAGTTGATTAGAAAAATCTTTGGCTACAAGGTGTAGCCTTACCATACATCCAAATCTCTAGTAAATTATGGTGGTATACACCACAACAAAGGACCAAAGGACTAGCTACAGGGTAAGTGAGGAGATTTGACTTTGGTGTTATTTCAATTGTCCAATGTGTCCTTTCTTTTTTATTTCATCGTTTCTAGCCATCTATCCTGTATCTCATTGTCAAAAAGCATTGATTTTAGCTAACAAGAAAAAAAAAGGCAAGTAATATGTTAAGCACTATAATCCTTGCTAAAATATGGCTTTAATTATGATTTATTAGTCAAAAATAATTTGACAAACATCAGGCTGCCTACAATGTGCCACGGCTGTGGAATCAAAAATGAGTAAGATAGTTCCTATCCTTAAGAACCAGTGACAACAAAACTTCAGTGACTTCACATTGCCTACCAAATCCAGTCCCTTCCACCTGGTTTCTCTGCATTTTCAAACTGCTCTGTGGAATCCTGGGGATAGTGATATCTGAAGGAATGTGGAGATAGGGGTGGAGGACAAGGGAAGTGAAAAGAGATGTGAAGGCAAGGCTAATTGTCTTTCCCCCTGCATTCAACCAAAGCGGGTCCACTTTTAAATACTGTAAAGACTTTGTTAAAAACAAGACAAAAAAAAAAAAAAAAAAAAAAACCCTCAAACGACAAAAAAAGAGAGCCACTGGGGATGGTGGGAGGTGAGAAAAGGGTGTTTTACTACTCTCTGTAGGAGCCAGCCATTCACACTCTTTCTTCCGTCTTTTCTCTAGCCCTCAAAGTCCACCCCATGAAATGGAATATCCTTCCCCTCTCTCTCCACATATTTGTACCCTCCATCTTTCAAAGACTAGTTCAAATGATTTCCTTCAAAAAAGCACTCTCTTAACACCACAGTCTACAGTAAATAAAATTCCCTTAGTACTTATTACTCATACCATTCATTTCCCATAAAAAATATTTGTTAATTATACTTTAATGTCTATGTCCTGCTGCCCCATAAGTGAATAAAAGGTCCCTATCTCTTACACCTTTATCTCCCTCATTTCAAATCAAGGCACATTAACACTGTGCTTTGCATATAACATTTATTAGAAGAGTAAACGATTTTGAATTTATTTGATAAAAGCTTAAGGGGTAACCACACCAAAAATACATCTGTATTTTAATAAGGGATTTTTCTGCAAGTCTGAAAAGCCTCTAGAGCAAAAGGAATAAACTGAAAATTCAGGCATAAATAACAAAAAAGGCTAGAAAACTGCCTTTTATTGACAAAGTATTAAAATATAGGCATTGATATTAATGTAAAAAAGTCTTGACAGAAAAATAAGACAGTAATTTGAAGTAAGAACTAAACCTTTTATTTTGGAAATGATTATAGTTTTCTATTATTATTTATTCTTACTGAGAATTTCTTCTACTATTTCAATAAATTATGATTTGACCCATGGTACCCTCGCTTTTCCATCTATAAATTTATATCCATAGAGAAAAGCATATGAATGGCTAGTACAGAGAATGGTATGGTCACAAGCACTGCTCGTCCCATTCTGCTTCCTCTGACACTTGATAATCTAGAGCATCAGAGTCAACAGGCAACTAATTAATTAATTAACGAATGTGTCAAACTTTCCATTAACCACTACTTTTTAAATCTCTAAATGAAGCTGATCATACTTGATGTTGCCGTACCATCCAATCAGTTCCCAAACACAATTTGAAGGAAAGAAAAGGAAATGGCAGCTATCTGGATCCTTTTATCTCCCTCAATCATTTTCATGAAGCAGAAATGTAAATCCCGCTGATTGTTATATGACATAAATCAACAGCCTTTCTGATTTTTCTACATTAGGTCAACATGACCATGGAAATTATTAACTATTATCTTTTCCCTCAGGTAGACAACCGACAGTTAAACAAATAACTGCTGTAGAGAATAGTTGTTTAAAAGGGGTTGAAAGCCCCTCCCCCAAAATGTCAAATATATGTTGGATATAACATGTTTTTAAACAACTGTGTTCCTTGTAACAGTTATTAGTAGAGTAAACGATTTTGTACAGGCATAAGGAACAAAAATTGTGGCTCTATCAAATAAGCTTTCATAATCATTAGGTAACTATTCAAAAAAGTCTAAATCATATTTCTGCATACTACATTTATGCCCGGTACAGACTATACTAACTTTCTTAAAACACTCTTGTGTTTATATTTCCAAATTCCCAGGTTAAGGAGAGTAGAAAAGGGAAGGCTAATCTAGTATCTTAATTGTGGCACTTGTAGTCCTGGACTCTGTTAGGCTGTAACATGGCTCATCATCTTCCCTATATTACATGGTTACAAATTTAATATACTCTGTCTCAGGAACACATTTAAGCAAGTGTGAAGAAACCACTCCAAAGTTGTAAAATTTTACAAATTTTAAGTTCTCAGTAAAGTAAGAGACCCAACTTTATGTCTTGGCACTTCCACTAAATTATTCCACAATTACGTCCAATTTCTCTGGGTTTCATATTGGCTGGTAACATAAAGGAGCTGGGTTCAGGATGTCTAAAATCTCTTCTGGCACTGAGGTGGTATGATCCTATAATTTTGTCATAGAAAGCCAGATCACGAGAAAAAAAATCCATAAATTTCCTTTTCCTGATTATTAGCCACAAACAGGTTAAAATGTGCCTAAATTTAAATTTTATAAGTATGAAGTGACAAAGTTAAGAAAACTTTTGTTGTTGTTGTTGTTGTTGTTTTGCAGGACCTATAGAATCAGTCTTGTAATTCTATAGTCAGATTTTAAATTTAAATTTAAAAATTTTAAGTCATATTGACCACTGATTAAGATGGCAAGTTTTAATTTCTCAACGGAACTGAATTATAAACACTAAAGCCTAAGTTAAGGATTTGCTAATGTTTCTTTCCTTCTGGGCAACAGCCATAACTCTATTTTAGACAAAAAGGCATGTATATTAAAACACAAAGGAAGGAATACCATTGTTCTAAACCTTTTGTTTAGCATCTGTTACAGTTTAATTATTAATGACAACCCAAAACAGAAAATCACATATTTTCTTCCTTATTGTGTTTGATCCCAACCAATTATTATTTTCTCAAAACATACTTGTGTTTATGTTTTCAAACCATCAAATAACATATAATTCAGCAATGTCAGTGACGTGAAGGAAAGTATCCACAGTAACTGGAGACCAGCAAAAAATTGTTTTAATAAAGGATACTACTGACTCAGTATGAAATGAAATGGGTCTACTGGACCAGCAGAAATCTCTGCCCAAAACTTCACCTGCCAGTCTACAGGCTCTGGCTGACACAAACAATTAAAAAGATCCAGAAGGTGTTAATAATAGACGAAACTGGATATGCGGCATATGCGAATTCTCTGTACTATCTTCTAGATTTTTCTGTAAATCTAAAAACCGTTCTAGGGCCGGCCCCGTGGCTTAGCGGTTAAGTGCGTGCGCTCCGCTGCTGGCGGCCCAGGTTCGGATCCCGGGCGCGCACAGACGCGCTGCTTCTCCAGCCATGCTGAGGCCGCGTCCCACATACAGCAACTAGAAGGATGTGCAACTATGACATACAACTATCTGCTGGGGCTTTGGGGGAAAAAATAAATAAATAAAATTAAATTAAAAAAAAAAAATTTAAAACCGTTCTAAAATAAAAAGTTAAAAAAAAAATCCAAGAGGGAATGGCAAGGCAAAGAGGGTTTTCATCGAGGGGGTGATGTTAATGATCAAACACTTGGATCTCAACTAGATCTATTATAGACGTTATCTATTTCAAAATGCAATTAAATATTCCCTCACAATTAAAGACCCAACACCAGTGTGCTATTATGAAGGAACTTTTAAAACACCCACATCAAATAGTCTACTCATTTTCATATATTCAATAAATAATTACTGACTGTCCTCTAAGAAACTAGCTAGCCCATGTGGATACAGAGATAAAGCCCCTGCACTTAAGAAGCTTACACCTACCATAATTATAAAAAATAAACAGAAAATTACAATTCACTCTAAGTGTCATAATGGCTGATGGCAGTATGTATAAGGTAACATGAGAACAGAGACGAAGGGCATCTAATTCTGAATGGAGCTCAAAGAAAGTGCCCAAGAAGCAGGCTTTTAAAAAGTGTGACCTCACTGCAAATGATGCTCTGATTATGACTAAATTAAAGACTATATAGTTTCTATAAATACATAACCGAAAGAAAACCAATACAATTGTATGTGGTTTAAAAATATATAATTATACCATTATTTAAATTACTTAATCTTATCTTAATTGTATCTTAATCCTATAAAGAGTTTCTTTTCCTGGGTTTTTTTACTATGTAAATATTTTTTAAAACAGAGTTGCCCAGAAAATTCAGTTAATCAGTCTGTCCTTTTCTCTGCTATTTACATGTTGCTATAATCTCACTGTTTACTCTTAAACAATTTTTAGATGTTAGGCTAATCACCTACTATTTGACTTGACTTGAAAAGAAAGCCCCTAGAAAAGCAGTAAAGCCAAGTCATTTTCTGTGTGACCCAAAGAAATTAGCAAATTACTTACTGTCTGGCTTTCAGTAAGAAATGACGCTTTTAGAATCTGGCCTTTTAAGCGTAGAGTCCACTCTTTTTATAAAGTGTGAAGTAGCAGAGTAATCAGAAGGAGATGCTGCTTTTCAACATCTCTTAAAAGAGACCTTTACAGAACAGTTTACTTCGTAATGTCATAAATTTTCCAGACATGAGCATTTTAAGAGTAATTTATAAGTAACTTCAGAATATTTACACTACAAACCCCCTCTTAGATAGGAACATTACATATTAAATAAAAACTTTAAATTCATAAAAACTGTCAATTGCAACAGAGCACCTAGCACAGTGTCTGGCACAGAGTAAATGTTCAATAAGTATATGTTGAATAAAACAGCAAACACATAATTCATATATTCACCATCCTAATCAAAATTATACAATTCTTTTCTAATTCTCTATCCTTTTGGTCATATTGATAACAAATGGAATATGGCCATTATAACGTTATCAATTCACGCCACAGAGCACGAAAGTTCTGTATCTATTATTTTTAGTGTTCTTATAGGTGATTCTTTTGAGAAAATTATTTAGGAATTCCTCTAGCTGCAACAAATTATCTCAGTAGAAAATTAGTTATTCTCAAGATACTCTTAGTGATTTAGCAACATCTTCACCAGGCTGATTAAAAAGGAAACACTGAAAATTCAGCATCAGAATAAAGAGGGCAGGAAGAACAGAGGCTGGATAAAGTGGTTGTTGACTATTTAATTATTATCGATTAGAGTCATGACTGACCTGAGAAATCACAGCCATGCTAAAACATAGACATATACATATTTAGAGCTCTCATCCCCACTCTAACCATCGTTCAACACTCTCTGGAGATCCACTTCCAAGTGCTTTAGAACGTTTAAAATAGGCATTAAATAAAACAGGCATTATATAAGAAAGAGATCATAGCATTTTTATACTCACTGGTAAATGCTCAAGTAATGAAGTTACACTCTCAGACACATATATTATGCTTCCATCTGTCATGATTGCTAAAAAAAAACCATCAAGAGCCTGAAATTAAACATAATGGTCAGTTAAATGAAAAGAAAAAAGTATTTCACAGGACAGAAATAAAAATCTAACTAATATAAATGACAAAGGACTTAATGTGGAAATTTCCAGAGCACTGTCAAAATGCTAGCTTTTCCTCCTTTACAATACCTTAGTATAAATCTTAATATATTATCTTTGCGCATTTTAAAATGCTTCTGGAAAAAAATCACTCTATGGCCATCTATTGGACAGTTGGCTTCTAAAAGATAGAGACTTAATGCTCTATCTTTATCCTATGTATATTACATGAAGACGGCCTTATTTGAAGATGCTAATACCTCCGAAGCACACGTGCCATAAATAATACGTCTTTGGCACACAAAACAATACATTATCACCTTTTGATTATATTAACAGAGAGGTGTATGATTGAAGTATAAGATACATGGGGAATAAAGTGAAAAGGAAATTAGGCTGAAAAAGTAGGCTGAGGTCAGATCACGAAAGGCCTTGAATACCAGGTTAAGACATAAGGATTTCGTTCAAGAGTAGTCTGGAAGCAGTGTGTAAAATGGACTGAGAGGAGAAAGAGAATTAAGTTAGGAAAATCTCAGTGGCTTCTGGAATAGTCAGGGGAGTTAACAAGGATCTGAATGAAATTAGTAGCAGTAAGAATAGAGAGAAGAAAGAATGTAGGCAAGTATTGAGAAATGTGAAGCTAGAGTTCAGGGAAGAAGCCAGTGCAGGGGATACAAGACTTAATAATAAAGCAATCCTGTAATTTATATATTACAAAGTATTTTCATTTGAGACTCCTAGGCACAGAAGTGACAGCTGAAGAAATGACATCTGCAAAAGAGAGAAGCATACCAAAGATAAATCCTGGAGGAATTATCTACACATGGGGATGAGGAGGAGGAAAGTACCAGAGAAAATGACAGAGAAGATAGAATACACTATCAGTCAAGGAAGTCAGTGAAAGAGAGAATGACAAGGTGAGCGAGGAGGAAAGAGGGATGGTTCAATGTAAAATGAGATCAAACAGGATATGGAATAAGAAAACGGGAAATGAATTTTGGTGACTTTCAAAAGAGTTATGTGAATAGGAAGGTGAGTCAGACTACAATGAGTTTAGAGATAAGAGGATGATCAGAAGGCCACTATAAACCACTCTTTTATGAACTTTAGAAGCCAAGAAAGGAGAAAAGACAAGTTTTAAGGGGATCAAGTATCAAGGGAAGGCATTAAAAAAAAAGTAACTGAAGTATATTTACAGGCTGAGGAAAAGAAGATCCAGTGGAAAAGATGTTGAAGATATACAGAAGGAAAGATATACCATAAGAGGAATTTCTCTTCTCCTATCAAAACAGTTATCATACTAAATTCAAATTTCTTGTTTAATTATAGGGCTCTCTCACAGGATAGCAATCTCTGGTAAGAACCATATATATGTTCTTCAACGTCGTATTTGCAGCACCTAGCATATATGTGGCACATGGCAGATAAAAAATACTTGTAGTAAATAATTTACGGACCTGGGAGTTACAGCAATCTACCTCTAATTCTAAGTAATTGTTGAAGTATATGTTGAATGTATGGAAAAAGGCACCCTCCACCTCTCCTTCTACTGGGGGAGAGATCTGGGTATCAGAAAGAACTTATTTTGAATAGATGCCTATCTTCTAGAATGGCCAGACAAACCCATTCTTGGCTAAAGTAGGGGAAGGGGGTGAAAACCTTGTAATTTAAGACAATTCATGAAATTATTTTTACAAAAACTCCTTAGTATAATAATACCATTATTATTATTTCATAAGGAACAAGGTCAAAATGATGTTAAGAGGAACATGCTTTTTTCATGTGAAGCTAGATTGTGTCATCTTTGAAAGCAAATTAACATTTACTATGATGATTACTATTTGCTCTTAGGATACTTGCTAGGAATTGGGGTGCAGCTCTTTTCTGTGAAGAGAATGAACTGTAATCAGAACTCTTAATGACTTAATTTCACTCCTAGAACCAGAGCCTGCCCTTTCCTCTCTCAAAACAGGCAAAGCCTAAGCAGAGAAAGCCTTCTACCAGCATCTCACCAGTCTTAACACAAGAAAGGACTCAGGGCCCAGACGTCTTTGGAAGTGGAAGGATGTAATTTCCCAAGCAGGTAGGTGGTTACATCAAAAACTAAAGGGGCCTTGAGGAGGAAGATAAGAGAGATGTGGAAGACAGAGCAGGACATCCTCCTCCCAAAGAAGACTGTGAAACTTATCCCTTCCCCACATTGCATGATACAAGGGAAAGGGTTCATTAGTTAAAACTTGTCTTGTTAAAGCTTGTCTTCCTATTTGATATCTACTTGACCTGCAAAAAAAGGACTGTGTAAACCTTCATTGTTTAGTGAGTATTTAACCTGGGGAAGTCCGTAATGGAAGTTCTAGGGAGGACGACAGTACCTCCTTGGGGATCTATATCTAAGATGAGGCTGACAGGGGACTAGCCCTTCTCTTGTAGATTACTGGAGAGAGCTGCTGGCTGCCAAGAGGAAAGAACTACATACTAGAAGATGACTTCACATAGAGATAACATTATACAGAGGTCTGGGTAGGCTAAATTGCCCTGATTTCCTTGACTACTCTCAACCTCCCCCAAAGATAGCAAGGAATATTCCTCAAGCAACAGAGACAAGGGGGAGAGGGACAGGTGGCAATGGAGGAATAGAGAGAGACAGCCAACACATAAGGTGTAAGTGAATTTTAAGATCTCAGTCCCAGTTCTTCCATTAATTAGCTATCTGATATTAGAAAAGTTACAACTTCTCTGGGCCTCATCCATAAAATGAAGAGGTTGAGCTGAATGATCTAATCTCTTCTACTAGCAGCTCTAACATTCCAAGATAGAGCCTACATCTGAAATTCTGCTAAAAATGTTATCTGGACTGCCTATCTGTAATCTGATTAACATGACTACCCAACAGTAACACAACTAGGTTAACGGGACCCAGATTGCAATATATACACACATTTAAACATATTTTTCTTGTATCTTGCACATGTCTTGGCACATTAATGTTAGAATGTATATTTACTTAGTAGTTGTAAATACTCACTAAAAATCAAAAATATGCTTGACATATTAAAAATAAATAAATGTAACCCTTTTTAGAAAGGTAATCTTAAAAGCTGTGAGGATAATCATGAGACAACTAATTTTCTATTTTCAAAAATTTTAATGTTTAAGTTTTCTCTGTTGTATATTATAAATAATATTATAATCTCTAGAATCTTTGATTTATTTATTTTTGATACTTATCTAAGTATGTACTACATGTGCCTTGGCAAATAAAAGAAATCTGTCCATTGTTAAGAAAAACTTGAAGACAATGCTTTTCTGTTTAGCTTATTAGTGAACAGGTAATTTACCTTCATTAAAGTTATTAATAAATGAGTATAGATATTATACCAATTTAGGAATTTATAAGAAATTTTTCATACCAATAAAGCAGGGTAAGTAGTTTATGACTGACACAGATCTTATTAAACCATTGCACTGAGAATATAATCATAAAATAAAAATTAAAGTGATTAAATGAGTTATTTCCTTTTTCTGTTGTAGACATTAGCATTTGTGTACCATTTCATAAACACATTATTTATATCTAAAGGGATAATTTTGGACAATGTCAAACTACTTTTTAGAGGAAAAAAATTTTAACAAAATTAGGAACTATTATTTGGTTTATAACTTAAGTGTCCCCTAATTTAAAGAGCTAATTGCTGGTTACTAAACTAAGTTCTATGCCATGGCTAGCTTTCACTGACAAGAAGTTTCACGAGCGGCAGTGTGCACAGGGGTTGAGGCCATGGGGATTAGTCTACCTGCAATGAATCCTACATGAGCTGCTTACTAACTGTGTTACTTTGGGCAAGTTTCATAATCCCTTTGTTCCTTGATTTCCTCACCTGGAAGTAAGAAAGGGATACTAATAGTATCTACTTCATAACATTACTCAGTGAGGACTCACTGAGTTATTATGTAAAAAGCACTCAGTTATTTTTCAGATTTTAAGCACAGGTTTAAACATATAATGTATACTCCAACAAATTTTCATACGGTAACATTTCTGCTGAATATATAAAGACTTAATTAATCCAGTAAATTAACAGTTCCATCTAAAGTATAAGTAGAAAAATAACTCATTAATTTGCAAAATACTCTGTGTTGCTTCAGACTTTAGTCAATATACAAAGACACTTGAGACATGGCCATTACATATACATACATGACACAGATAAAGCTTAAGGTCTAAAATAATAGACCCAAGCAAACAGAATAAGAGATGTCAATTATTTAACAATCTCTAAATCCCCACCTCAATTGCTTTGCTGTACTCCTACTATGTCTCCTTTCTGTTATGTATGTATTTTTCTTGTCCTTAACTGTTATCACCAACGTATATCACCCCTATTTCCTTTTTACTATAAGTTTTCATGGAAATTTGATACTCAACTCCGTGTACTTTGTGTGCAAAGCTGTTACCTGTATTATTCTACATAGGAAACAATAAAAAAGTAGAGAAATAAAATTGACAGGTATGAATGACTCAAAATTTTTGTGGATTTTATAATTCATTGTATGAGGTATTAATTTTTTCCATTATAAGCAAGTATGCCCTGAATTGTTTTCAAAAATAATTGTCACAGAACTTTTACTTATTTCCTTTTAAAAGTCTTTACTTGAATAAGAAGAGTGGCCTTTCAATGTGTATTTCATTGTTTTAATATTTTTAGAGTACTTCATTTATTATCATTTTATGTTGTGTTTAGGTAGATTTTAATTTGTTAAAAAAATCCTGTCTAGTAAGATACATTTCATAATAATATTTAACATGTGATGAATAATACATATTATTCTTCATTTGAATGTTGTTAATGTGGTCTCAGGTAGAGAAACTTGGTAGCTATAGGTTTCTTTTACTAAGCCTCTCAAAAATTCAGATAATATTAAAAACATGAAAATTTGGTATTACTTTACCACATAGTACTATTTCCTTACAATACTTAACACCAATCAATTTTAACTGAAGATACAGTTTATTGATTCACAATGAATTAAGACTTTTCAATATTAAATTGTTAAAACTATACTAAAATTAGTCACCCCTGTGATTTCTTTTCTGAGGAAAATAAAACTTCAAAAAGTAAATCTGGACATACCTCTAACATTAATTGTGTAAACTCTTCATTACTAAGGAATGTGGGTTTCCAGTCCTGTCGAATTTCACTAGCATCTGACTGTGCAGTGATTTCTGTAAACAGATTATTTAACACATTAGTGGCATACTCCAAACACAGGGTGAGGGGAAGGGGCGGTACAAAAGTCCTACAAGTTGCCTTTTCTCCTCCTACTCTAAGTAAAGATGAGAACCATAGGTAATAACATTTGTTGGTCTAGGTAGGTATCAGGAGGTCCACGTTTCGGTAGGACGAAATATTTGAGCTAATGTGGTAAGTTATCTCCTTGGACTTGGTCTCTTGGAAATACTAGTCTCTGGTTTTTCTCTGGGGAGCTTTGATAGCCTATGTTGCTCACAGGCCTGAGATTGCTTCCTGCTTGACACAATGACCAAAAAAGAATCAGAACAAGCAGATTAGATCAAGCATTATGAAGAAATTCTTTTTCCTCTTCCTTTCCTTGACATTTAAATGGTAGAACCTCGAGCAGACATAAGGACACGAGCCTGGAGGAAAGGAGCCAAGGAGGTCAGTCAGTCTGCTTTCAACAAAGAAGACTTTAGGCCTGCCTACTGCCTGACAGAAAGATTCCTCCCAGTCTGAGGTGCTCTACTCTTAATTAACCAAGGAAATTAAATTAAGATTTTGGGCAAAACCGTTATAGTAATAATCCCACAGTGATTTTGCTTAGTGTCCTCTTGCACGTTTTCTTTGTGGTAGGGACTGGTCAAAAATTTGGAGATCCCTGGCTTGGGGCACACATTTTAACACTATTATTATAGTTTATTTTGCAATATACTTCTAATGGACTTAGTTATGAGAAAGCTATTCATAAATGATGAAACCTAAACTATTTAGGTAATAAATGTTTTTACATTTTTAAATGCAGACATATTAAAACAACCAGGCAAAACAAAAATCAATGTCATAGATTTTACTCTACAAAATATACTCTACTTGGCAGTGAAAAGTATGGACTAAGTTATTTTAATTTTTCTATATAAATATATAGAGAGATATATATATAGCATATTAAATTGACACTCAAAATTTTGCATATTGGAAATGTGTGTACTAGAATATGAAGAGTAACTTAAGAAGTCTAGCTACTAACTCTGTGGAATATAGTCATGCTTTTCAAATTCACATCAATTATACACAGTGAGAAAAAAAAGATTTAAATCCACAAGCAAATCCCATCAAGTTCAGTTAAATACAGACTTATTTTAGAGTAATAAGTATATAAGAATTCCCTTTCAATTTAAGGTAAATTTTATTTTTGTGAGAATTATATATCTAATTTTGAAAAAAAAAGCTCATCTACTTAAAGCCAAAATTAATCTTCTATTTTATTTCATTTCATTCAACAATCACTTATTAAACTACAACGTCTGAGGGACTGAGTGTGCTAAGAAGGAACACCAAGGTTAGTGGGAATGCTATTTGTAGAGGTAAAATGTAATGATAATGGTGGCAATAAAAATGAAGACCAGCAATTTTGACACATTTACAGAAGAATCAAGAGAATTTGGCAACTGTGATACAGTACTAAGGAAGATGAAAAAAACCCAAAAGTCTTTTCAAGTTTGAGTCCTGGGGGACTAAAAAGAGTTAGAAAATGGAAATGGAAACGGAAAAAGGAAAGTTGAGAGAAAGAGGTGACTTGATAAAACAAAAATGAACTCAGTTTTAGATGCATTGAGTTTGAGGACATGCAAAAGAAAGATCCAGAAGTTATCTGGTAATAAAAGACTGAAAAGATTCTATCTACAAATACAGATTTAATAGTTTAATAGACAAGCAATCGCTGAAGCTATGGAATGAGATAACCAAGGGAAAGAGTGTAGAGAAAGCAAGAGCACAAAAGATAAGACCTTGAGAAATGTCAAATTTAGAGGGCAGAAAAAGAAAGAGGAAAGGAGTTAGTTTCAGTTAGGAAGGGGGAGGTGAACGAAGAAGTGCAGTATAACACAGGCCAAGGGAAAAGAAAGGCAGTGGAAGATGGATTAAAACTTCCAGCGCTTCAGAGATGCGGAAGAGGATGAGGTGTAAGAAAAAGCTATTGTTTTATCGGCGGCAGAGGCAGTGGGGGTAATGGCATTAGCGAAATTAATAAAAATAATTTCAGACTGACGGAGCATAAACCAGGCTAGTAATGCATTACTGAGTGGGCCAAGGAGAAGTATATAGAGGCACTAGTTACAAATTTTCCGTCTGAGAAGTTTTGCAGTTTCATTTGCATCTGAAAAAGGAAATGTCCTTTCCAAGTTTTTCATCTATTATCTCTGTTACCAAAAATACTTATTTCTTTAAATTTCCTTTTCATGACTCATTTAGTCAAAGTAATTTTCTTCAATTAACAGATAATCCCTTTATTTTAAAACATAGTGTCTATTTCCTAGATATACACTGAAATAATCTTTATGAGGCCCTCAGTCTGGCTCTTAACTTTCTTTCAAATATACCCATAACTTTCCAACTCAAACTATGCTCCAATTACACTGAACTCTTCCCCACTTCTAGGCTTTTGCACATGCTATTTCCTATATCCTCCCTGTGAAATGTTGTTTTCCTTACTTCATCTGAAAAGAAGACTCAGTTGAAAAATTAACTATTTTTAAGCCTTCCCTGATATATTCTTTCCTCTCTGTTCTCACAGCAAATTTATGGTTTACAAACACTACTCCTATTATAATTATTTGCATTGTAATTCGCCCTTCACATGTTTGTCTCCCTTGGCTTCAGTTACTTAAGGGCCAGGACTGCTACCCTGTACACAAGAATCTCGGATATAATAGGCATTAAATAAGTGTTTGTTGAATGAAAGAATGAATATACCAAGAAATCTTTAAAAAGGCAATCGATTTCTTTCCCTTAAAAAAGATTAGGAAGCATCCAATCTTAAGCATCACTAACAAGATTCTATCACATTATGCTTTAAGGGAGAGTCTGTTATAAAAAAATCCATTTTACAAAGTTAAAATTTACCTTTATGTTTTCGTAAAAAATCAATGCTCTTCTGTAGAACAGTAGATTTGTCCATCTTTCTAGCATTACCAGGAAGCATGGATCCCAGTTCTTTAATGAGAACATTAAATTGATCTCTACGTTTCTTTTCAGATTTGTTTCTAGATACTCTGAGGAAATAAAAAACAAAATAAGTAGTTTTCAAACAATCCACTTAATTACACAAATAGTTTACTACAATGCTCAATTTGGACACAACCACACAACATGGACTCTGACGACATAGATGGAAATAAATATTTACCTCCCAGGTTACCAACAACATACAGTTAATTTGGGCAATAATTTTTCTTCTCAGTTTATCACTAATGGAATTTTTACACATTAAGCATTTGGCATACATGTTTTTATGAAAATGTCAATAAGACAAACTGCATTCAAATCTCAGGTTTTATTTACTCTAATATTAAATACAAGAATTTGTATTTTCCTTATTAGGTTATTACAACTATTACTGAGATACATTTTGTGAAAGTACATATAGTGTATAAATAAAATTATTAAAAAAATGAATAGGATAAAGTTATCTATTTCCTCTAAGTTTTAAGTTATAAACAGAAATCTAAAAATGAAAATCTCCTTACTATCAGGCTTATCTATGCATTCTTCCTCTTCATTCCTATATCCCAGCCTTCAACACAGAGCTGTAATCGTTTGTTTGCATATCTGGCTCTCCATTAAGCTATGGGCTCCTTGACAATAGAGCCCAAATCTTTTCTTCTAAGCATATAAGCATAACACCTAATAAACAGTTAAGCACTCAAAATATACGTGCTAAATGAATAATTACTACTGTTCCATGTGAAGCAGTAACCAGTAAACAAATACTTGGTTGCACTGAGAACTTGAGACAAGTATATACAATTATTTATAGAGCAATTGACCTCTATAATACCTCTACCTGCTTTGTTTAGTCAAACTTTCCTTTTTTTTTTTTTTT